TTTTTTTTTGTTTTATTTTGTTTTAATTAAGAGCTGAAATTATTGACTGCTAGTGAGAAAGATATTCTTAAAAGAAAATAGGCAGCTGGAGAGGAGCCACTATAATACTGTGTTTCCCTGAAATTAAGATGGTCTTACCTTACTTTTTGCTCCAAAAAAAAAGCATTTGGGCTTATTTTCAGGTGATTTATTCCCCATGTACAATCTACATTTATTCAAATACAGTAATGTCATCTTCTTCTGGTTGCTGCACAAGGCTGGAGGGCGGGGTTTCACGTAACTGGGGCTCATTTTGGGGGTAGGGCTTATATTACGAGCATCCTGAAAAATCATACTAGGGTTTATTTTCAGGTTAGGTCTTATTTTCAGGGTAACAGGCTAATTATGCAAGGAACACTTTGCCCCTGAGCAAGCTCGGTACTCATTTTCAGGTTAGGTCTTATTTTGGGGGAAACAGGGCAGTACAGAACAGAGAGAGAGACGTAACATAGAAGTTAGTTTTGTTCTTATGGAGGTATGAACACAAGAGTGTTGTTTGCTCCTGCCTTTGTTGTGTTTAAGCGTGCCTGAGTAGCTGAAATCCCTTTATTTAGGGTAGGAAGCCATAACTCAAGTAGGCCTATTTGAATCAAGGGCACTTACAGAGGAGTTGACTCATCAAATCTCCACTGATTCAATGGGCCATTTCTAGTACAATTTACTGTACTAAGTAGCAAGATTTCAGCCAGTGGATCTACTCTCCATGTTGAATGTCAAATGTCAGTCTTTTTACATGTGAAGTAATCCTTTTAAGCAAAATCTGAAACAGAGTCTAAGGTCAGGCAATGATCTTCTAAGTAGGAAGTGATACAGAATGGGTTATTTCAGAGGTCAGGCAATGATCTTCTAAGTAGGAAGGGATACAGAATGGAAGGCTAGAAAGCCCTGCCTTGTAGGTTCCTCCTCCACAGTGAAAGTGATCTAGAGTGTCCATACTCAGAGGCTGAACTCCCATTAGAACAATGGTTCTTAGCTTCTAGTTCTCCAGAGGTTTTGTCCTTCAACTTCCAGAAGCACCCAGCTAGCATAGAAGGTAATGTGCAAAGTGTCTGGAAAGCTAAAGGGTGAGGACAACATTAGATCATAATGCACACAGGTTTTTGGCGTTGACATCTCCCTCTGGCTGTTCCAGGTTTTGTTAGTTTTGTTCTTATGGAGTCTACCAGTGTGTATGGGCAGAAGCAAGCTGCTGTGGCGAAAGAGTACATGGCTCGCCTTCAAACCCTACATTCATTTAACAATCAGTCTGGCTGTGTTTGCAGAAGGGAGATAGGAAACACACCTGAAAAAGCAGTGCCAATTTCTTTCAATGTCCGTTGGAAACGACGAATGTATGTATTCAGGCAACCAGTCACCAAAGGTCCTAAGCTGAGCTGTTGGAATGTGATACAGACCGTTGTTGACAAAAAGCTAGGTTAGTAGCTTTTCAGGAGGTATCTGGGAAGTGTCCGTATTATAATTCCAGAGCTATGATGGAAAGGGCTAAGATCAACACAGTGTACGTGCTGCCTATATATGTCCACATAGCCCTTGAAACACTCTCTGGGTGGTTTACAATTTAATTGTGCAGGCTACATATTGCTCTCCCCGCCCCCTACAAGTTGTGTACTCAATTTACTGGCCTCTTAAGGATGGAAGGCTGAGTCAACCTTGAGTTGGCTACCTGCATCTGTTGGGATCGAACACTAGCCATGAGCCCAGTTTTGACTGTAGTGTTGCAATTTAACCATGAGCTGAGTTTTGACTGTAGTATTGCAATTTAACCATTGCAATTTAACCACGAGCCCAGTTTTGACTGTAGTATTGCAATTTAACCACTGCACCACGAGGCTTCTTTTCAGACGCAGACACACTAAATAAATTCTTTATATATTTTTTTTAAAAAGTTGCTAACAGTTCCTAAAGCACCCGTCTGTATTCACCTACCAGAGAGATTGTAATCTGATGACTTACTTCTAAAGACTTTAGGTCTCAGCAGGAATGATGCTGTTCAGGTGTGTCCTTCTCTCCCACCCAGTTTCAGGTGTTAATACAACAGGTGGTTTAAAAACCAGCCAACCAACAAGCAGCATTCATACTGCTTGCTCTGATGGTTCGCATTGTTACCTGACACTGTGGTACAATCACTTCCAGCCTGGTCTCATCATTCACACTGACAGGATCTGTTCTCTGAAGGGAGAGGCATCTTGAGAGGTTGGGTGGGGAAAATGTTTCATAAAGGTAGTCAAGAGGAAACTGCCCGATACCAAGTCAGACTATTTAGTCATTTAGCCCAATAGCGTACTCCGACCAGCAGCGTGCTTCCACATTCTATGGCCAGCTTGGCCACCAAGCAAAGTGAGGTGGGCAGCTCACGTAGATGCATCTCTGCAAAGCAGGTGGTCTCCCAACGAGCAATAGCTCTTCTGGTTTGTGTGACTGATGTGAGGCAGGTAGAGTATGGGAGCCCTGTGGCAAAGATGCAGAGCCATAAACAGGCTTCTCTGGCTAGGTGGGGCTTCAGCAAACAAGAGCGAGAAAACTTGTTTCCTCATAAAACACCCACTTTTATAAATCTCTTACCAAGCCCATATGTCTGTGTACATTTTTGCGCCTCTTGGCTTGCTTGCGTAGGAAACAAGCAGGAAGGACAAGAAGAGTTATTTTTAAACTCAGCACTGTTAGCCCACTTGTGCTGCAACCGTCCTGTCAACGCTGTAGCTTGCAGGCAGTAGAGAGAGACTTTGTGCATTTCATATCGTACAAGAAAGATTCTGGAGCTACAGTCTGAAAATTTCAATAAGTGCAGAAGTGGGATAGAAAATCTACCAGGGTGGGGAAGTAGGTTTTCTATCCCGCTTCTGACTACAGTGGCTGCCTTTCCCCCCCTTAGATTAAGAGACCCTAAAGTAAGGGAAAGAAATATAATGCTACAGATTAAAAGCCCTTCCCACCCCCATTATTTTGTGTGCATTGGTTGAGAGGAGCATTTGTTTGTTGCATGTGTATACTTCAGGCAGTAGAGAGGTCTCTCCCCCTTATCCTGTTTAATCCGCATAACAATCTTGTGAGGTAGGGCAAGGGCTCCCGAGGTCATCCAGTGAGTTTCAGAGCCAGTTGGGGACTTGAACCCAAATCTCCAAAACAATCAAGATCAGATCTCTAGGTGGGGATGGTGCATCCCTACTGCGAAATGAAAAACCACAGGCTTTTATGGAGATAGTGAAGAAAGGAAGTTGTATGAACACCTCTCTTGTGTCTAGAGAGACACTAGGAGGTGATGCATCCTCGTTGTTTCAATTTATATACTCCCCCGTAGTGCTAAAGCACTCTCTGAGCAATTTACAACATACCCTGTTTCCCCGAAAATAAAACAGGGTCTTATATTAATTTTTGTTCAAAAAAATTCATTAGGACTTATTTTCAGGGGATGCTTTATTTTTTCATGTACAGTGGTGCCTCGCAAGACCATTGCTTTGCATAACGACAAATTCGCTTTACAATGAGGTTTTCGGAGCGATCTTGCGCTTCGTTTAACGATGTTTCCTATGGGCGATTTTCACTTTACGATGTTAGGGACCTTGCTTCGCAAGATGGTTAAATTTTAAGTCCCTGTTTTTCGCTTTACGATGTTTATGACAGTTTGGTCTTGCTTCGCTATAAGAGTCTTTTAATGATCTCTGTTTCGTTAGATGGCTGTCTTCGCTTGGGAACCGCGTTTCGTTTAACGATGTTTCCTATGACAATTTTTGCTTTACGATGACAATCCATTCCCATTGGAACGGATTATCAGGTTTTCAATGCATTTCAATGGGAAAACATGTTTCACAAGACAATGTTTTCGCTTAACAGCAATTTTCGCGGAACGAATTAACATTGTCTTGCAAGGCACCACTGTACAACAATCTACATTTATTCAAATACAGTCATGTCATCTTCTTCTGGTTGCTGCACAGTGGTGGAGGGCGGGGTTTCACTTAACTAAGGCTTATTTTGGGGGCAGGGCTTATATTACGAGCATCCTGAAAAATCATACTAGGGCTTATTTTCAGGTTAGATCTTATTTTCAGGGAAACAGGGTAATTATGCAAGAAACATTTTGCCCCTGAGCAAGCTGGGTACTCATTTTATTGACCTTGGCAGGATGGAAGGCTGAGCTAACCTTGAGCCGGCTACCTGAACCTGTCAGGATCAAACTCAGGTTGTGAGCAGAGGTTTGACTGCAGTACTGCAGCTTCACCACTGCACCAGAGGGCTTGCTCCTTATTGGATGGCACCTTGCTTTGACATCATTACAGTTCCTGAAGGTTGGGTTTGACTTGAGAGAGGGGGAAAAGACAGAAGGGTGGTGCAAAGGCTACCTTTAATTTTAGTCTGAAGAGAAGCTCAAGAACATTGTGAGTCATACCCAAAGTCAGATTCTAATCCAATGAACTACCTTTTGTTTGCCCTAGGAATGCACAGAAACAAGAGTTATCCAATCTTTATCACAAAGGTCTTGGCTTAACAAACTGCATGATAGTGGAACATCTTCCTAGGGTTTTAATTCAATAGATGGCTGATCAAAACACTGGGGCAAAAAGATAAAGAGAGGCTTGGGCCTAGTGAGGGAGAAGCTGCCTCAACCAGAAGCCCTCAGTGATAAGGCATTAGAGAAAAATAGGTGTAGAGCAAGGATAGATGGGTATAACAGATATGAACTGAAACTAAGACTCATTGGTTTTCTGAAACACTGTTGGAGAATCTCCTGAACTTCCAAAACAGGGCACTTGTGTGAGTTTAATATACACTATCCACTACAACAGGGGTTCAAAACCTTTGGCCATCCAGACGTTTTGGTCTACAACTCCTAAGTGGGTGATTCAGTCCAAAACACTTAAAAAGCTAAACATTCCTTATTCTTGTAGTAAGCTAACTCAAAAGCCTTAATGAAACACTGATACATAAGACAGTGTGTGGGGAAAAAAATCACAGTCGAGGACCAATTTTTAATTTTTTTTAATTATATTCAAACATGGTAATTTCAATTCCCTGTTCTTTAAAACAAATGCAGCTGAGCTGCTGAATAAACAAGTACAATATAGAGACTTCTTTGGAAAAAAAAATACTCATGCGATATTGCACATTTAAGTTTTTCTGCATTTCTTCTTGTTTTTGTTGGCGATGCAGCCATATAGAAAATACTTCTGTTATGTACAGATATGTTTGGGGAGGAAAATTCACAGGCCAGGGTAGGCAGAAGGAAGAAGAACAGGGCAAGGGTGGAGGTGAGATAAAAGGGAAAATATGGCAGAAAGGAAGGGACTATTTATTTTGGCAGAGGAATCTTGGCTCATGATAGCGCAGGAAAAACACACACATACACACACACACACGCACAAAAGACAGGGTTTTCAGGGTAGTACTTTGGACCCGTTTCTCTTGGAATTACTTCTAGCCCTCAGTTTCACTTGGAAGTACTTCTAGCCCTCAGTTTTAACTTTGAAAATATTTGATTGTGTGCGTGCAGGAAGAGGAATGTAGGAGGAGAGCCATAAAGCTAAACCCAGGTATCCTCTAGGAAAGCAGCAGAGTCCAGGGGAACGGAAAACAAATGGTGAAGCAGGCACAGCTCTGGGAGGAGGAGGAGGAGGAGGAGGAGGAGGAGGGGAGGGGAGCTGGCAACTCTGCCAGAATCAAAGGTGAACTTTGGGCACGGCCTCCGTTATCCAATCCAGACCTCGGGGTTACGAGTGTTTTGGCAACCTCACAGCCGGGCTGGGCCTAAGCTTGTGGGCCCTCATGTACAGAGGAGAGGAAGAAGCAAAGAGATCCCAGCCTTTGGATCTAACCTCAGGCCCGATGCAGCCGAGAAAGCGCCGGAGGGCAGGCCGAACTTTGGAAACTCCAGGTTGGGAGGAGGGATGAAACCACCCTGACACCGGAATACCGGGATGCAGAGGGAAGTGAAGAACGGAAGCGAAGGGCAATCCCTCCACTGTTCAAAAGGCAGGGGGAAGGAGTCCCTGCAGCTGCACCTCTTCAACTGGCTCCTCTCACTCCGGCTATGGCACTTCTTCTTGACAGTAAACAGTATCCTGGCTCCCATACATTTCAACACCTACCTACCTCGCGCCCTCCCCCCCCACCCCAGTGACATTTCCATGTCCCTCTAGCTCTTGAGAGCCAAAGGGTAGACAATCCCTAGACCATTTAAAAAACAAGTAACCGTCACTTTCACCTCCTTTCTAATCAAACCGTTAGCAAGGCCTCTGTCTGTGCAGCCTACAGCAAAGCTGCCTCTCACACATTCACAAGTCTCCCTCCACCCACTTCCCCGCCACCTGTTCCATTTTCAACCCACTTGCTTAAATCTTCCAAGGCCCAGGCTGTCATGCCAGCCTAGGCAAGAAAAGGAGGGGGGGTGTACAATCTTTTTGGCCTGGAGGGCAGCTCCTGGAGTGGGTTGGGGGAGGCTGCACACATCTGTACACACATACCTCAACATGCACATGCACATCATACCTCCCCCATACATACATTTCAGCACATTCCTAGACCCCAAGATCACCTTCACCTTTCACTACTAGCTGTGGATTAAACAGGGATCTGAGAAGCCCAGAGCAAATCCCACTCCTTCCACCTGCAAGCTGAGCCATCAATTCAGGCTGTGGGGAGAAAGGAAGGAGGGTCTCACCAGCCGAGGCAAGGGGAGGGTGGCATACAGAGAACGTCCAAGTCCTACGGGGCATGCCTCTCTGCTACAAAACCTACTTGCTAAATGCCACCTCCCACCCTGCGACTCAAGAGTCCTGTGCCCTCTTGAAGAACCTATGTATCTATCAAAGCACCAGTCTGTTACAGAGGATGTGTATGTCCTGGACTGAGTCCACTTTGCCCCAACCCAATGGGATGATCAGCGTTGGGATGTTGCTGCTCCTGGGTTGCGGAGTTCGAAGCCAGCCTGTCCAATGGAAGCGATGGACAGCATCCTCTGCCTACTAGGAAGAAAAATCCTGCAAATGCCAATGGCGCCTGTTAACCCAACACTCCCCTCGCCCTCAGATGTCCAGCCTTTTCTTCCAAGCGGTCATATGACTCAGCGGCCTCACCCTTCTCCTAATATCACAAAAAATGAGCCGCAGCCCCATTCCTGTGAGCTCCCGGGAAGAGCGACTCTCGTCATCCACACACCCCTTGTTCACTGGAGGAAAAGCAACAAGCAAAGAACATCACTTTAAGAAAGCCACAAAATAAATACTGTCTCTGGAAAGGAAATTTTTAACAAGGAGGGGTAAGGAGGGGGGGAAAGGGAGGGGCGCAAGACATTGTTTTGGGAGACAAAATTGGCCTTCTTTGTGGAAAAGGAGGGTTGGGGAAACCCTCTGATTGGCTGAGACTTGGGAGAGCCCACATCTGGAGTGTATGGAGGTTGAGAGGGCCTTGGCCCACTCCTAACCTCAAATATTCCTCCTGTCCTCTGTGAGGATCTGATAAACAAGAAGAGGTGTGGAGTAAGGCCCCTGCTTCACACAGGAATCAGGAGGCCGTGGCAGCAATGGTCATTTGGAGAGTTTGCTGATCACACGGATTAGAGCGGCGTTTTCATCTTTGAGCCGTTGGTTGTCAGCCTTCAAATCTGACAGAGCCTGCGGGGAAGAAGGTAAACAGAACACCAAATCCCAATGCATCTGATACTGATATTTGGTACAGTCCTTAATTCCCACCCTTCCTGAACCAGGCAGCCTGTGAGCTGAGCCATCAGGATGAGACCCAAGGGTTCATTCAACCAGTCTTACCTTCAACTCTTCCTCAAGTTCTGCTGCTTTTCTCTCCAAAGCTCGGCGTTCCTAGTGGAGAAGGAACAAGGATATGAAAGAAAGACAAGAGTTTTAGTAGTGTCTTCATGCCACACTTTAAAAACAGAGAAGTCTCTACAGGACAAAGATGGGATAGCTTCGATTGAGTATGGATCGGAAGCGCAGTGGCTCATCTGAATGTATCAGATTTACAAAGCTGAGTACAAAATTGTGCACCCTTACCAGATAAGGCATCCAACACACCCCATTGCTTTTAAAAACAGAGTCATGTCTTGCTAGGTCAGATTAATGATTATCTAAAGCATCATTTCCCCCCCAGGAATCGCAGCAATTCAGATGTTACGTGGGCAGGCAGCACACCCGCATGGACACACAGCTGTTGTACGCCACAAGGTTTAATCCTTCAGGCCAACGGACAACAACAGCAGCTTCTTCTTACCATCCTATTTCACTTTAACAGGAGGCATTTAAAAAATCTCATAATTTTTGTGATGCAAGGGAATTAAAAGAGAAAGTGGAGGGTACTTACGAATCTCTCAAGCTCTAGCAGGGCCGGCCGCTCAGCGAAACGCTCTTGCCTCTACAGGTGAACAAGAAACCATGTGAGATGCACAATGGGGCTGAACTAGGGGTGGGAAAAGTACTTAACAGGAGTGGGGAGAGTGTCCACGGTTGGCCAGTGCCTTTGCTGAAAAGGGTCCCCTTGTTTCTGGTGACCTGTCTGGGCTCAGAAAGTAGATAAGACTCTGAGCGTGGCCCCTGCCAGAGATCATAAGTGGACAGAAAGGCCTGATAATCTTGCTCCCAGGCCAGTGAGCCTATAGAGTGCATGTCAATGTGATCTGCACATATCAGAGCCCAGGAAGATGGAACAGTATAGCAGGTTGGGGAGGGGAAGGGAAAAGCCAATAGAAACAGCATCCTTCCTAACAGTATCTAGCACAGCAACCTCCCCATTGGGTTCACGCCTTGTTGAAGCGCAGAGATTTAAACCAGAAATCTCTGGATAGCTAACAGATCATACTCTTGAGCCACTGAACAGGCTTATGCCGGCTCATACCCTGTAACTTGGCAGGAGCAAAGGGGAATCTCAATATAAAATATGTCACATCTGAGGTGTCTGTTCTCCCTCTTACACAGATTTATTTCACACACCATAAGCCATGCTGTTGCTTTCATCATGAATTATCTCACTGATGACCACACAAACTTTCATTTTCTATTTAATTCTCTTTGTCAGGGTCTGTCTGGGAACAAACCATGGTTCTGGGTTCAGACAAAGTGACAAGTCGTGGTTTGAATAGACAGAGTTCATAAGCCACCAACAAACAAGCCACCATTGATGATTTCCTGCAACCAATTTGCACAAAAATTACATGCCGTCAAGTTGTTCTGGTCTATGGCAGGATTTTTAAGATAGAGAGTACTCAGAAGTGGTTTATCCTTGCTGCCTCCTAGAGGTGCCATTGGATTGTGTACCTTGCCCAAGGCTACACAGGTTGGTTCTCCACTTGGGACATGCAGTAGGGAACTGAACTCCCCACTCCCTGGCTCTGCATCCAGATACCTAACTCATTTGAGCTGTCCCGCCAGATATCCTAAACAAAGCATAATTTATCAACTGACAACCTGACTTGTCTTTGTACACAAATCCACCAGGGTCTCTCCCAAGCTGGCAACCTTCATCCCCTAACAAGCGCCTGCCTTGCTCCATACCTGGGTCACTCTTTCCAGCTCCAGTTTGATCTGGGTCAACTGTAGCTGTGCTTCTTGTAGTTGCTCCTTCAGCTTTTCGTTTTCAATTACAAGATCTTCATACAACTGAGGGACACACAAAATATGAAATGAAAAAAAAAACACTGGCATCACCAACATCTGCCTATCGTTGCTGCTTTTCCTTTCCCACAGCCTCCCTCCATAAGGTCAAAGGAGCACCAGGTCAAATCACTCACTTTCTTGTAATAATGATCCGGTTCTTCTTTGCAGCTCAAGGAGGCGCTGTTCCGTCTCTGGCAGCTGTAGGAGGCCATCCGGTTCGGCAAGACACTATTTAAGTGTTCACTGAAAATACCAGGGAGATCAGGGTCACAGAAATCACCCACTGGTGCCCCCTCACACTCAGTAATTGAGGTGAACCCTCCTCCTATAAAGCTTTAATAAGAACACTGAAAGCGGAAGGTTGACGATTAGATGCATTAGAAATGGCCTGTTTAGGCATGTGAAGTTACTGGGATACTGAAGTACAGTGGTGGCTCGACGTACGACCGTCCCTACTTATGATCATTTCGAGTTGCAACCAGCTCCAGCCGCAAAATTTTGCTTCGACTTGCAACTAGGAAAAGGCAGGGGGGAAAAGGCGGGAAATTCAAACCGTCGGTGGTGAAGAGGCTGCTTCTTTGTAGCTCTTTTGCCCCAACGGTTAAGGGAAGGGATGCAGTGGCGGGGGGAGGGGGCAGCGAGGGCGTTACTGCACCTAACGGTGAGATCCTGGGCCTTGGCGCAGAGGGTCCCCCGATCCCAGCTCCCGGAGGGAGGGTCCTCCTGCGCCGCCGCCTTCTCCTTCCTGGCTCAGTGTTTGGCCCCGCAGGGACAGATCCCCTTCTTCTCCGCCGGCCTTGCCGTTGAAGCGCCCAGTGCTCTTCTCTGCTCTGATGTTTATTTTTTTTTTATTTTTATTTTTTGCAGTTCCAGTCTGGGACTTGCTCCAATGTTTATTTTTGGGTTTTGTTTTGTTTTTTGCAGCCCCAGCATGTTCCTAGGGGGCTTGCAGTGTTTTATTTTTATTTTATTTTATTGGTATTTTTTAAAACACTGGAATGAATTACCATAATCACATTCCCATGCATTTCAATGGGAAATAGTGCTTCGACTTACGACCATTTCAACTTACGTCCATCTTCTGGAACGAATTATGGTCGTAGGTCGAGGCACCACTGTATTGGTTCCAAATGTGCAATTCAAGAGTACCAAACTTCCTTGGGGATAGCATGTATATCTCCTCTCAGTCAGGAGATCAGCTGCCCCTTGGAAAGCAACCTACGGATCCATATACCTGACCTTTATCCTATCTTCACATTCCAGGTTAAGTGATGAACCCCGAAAGGGAGATATACCTGCCATGTCCGGACAGATCTTCGTTGTTGACTTGTTCAACATCGTCGTCATCCTCGCCCTGGAAGAAAGGAAGTTTAGCGTTTATGGGCTCCCCTGTATTATCTACACAGACTATTTCAGAACCAAGTTCTCAACAGCATGCGTGCACAGCATCCCTCCTGATGCACATGCCCCACCATGCCTTCCTTCTGCCCCATCAATCTGTTTTAAACCCATGTCCCATTCACCTCAGAGTTCCCTCCCAGCCCGGTGATGCGTCTTTCCCGCCGGCCTTTCCTACGGTCCCGAATAGCCAGTCTGTTCCGGAGCTCCGAATCTATCTCTGAGACAGTCTCGTCAGCTTCGGAGCCTGCAAGGCCGAGAAAACAAGATGTACAGCTTTGTTGAACGCAAGATCTAATTGTACGAGGACAGCTATAATGTCCACCATGAAGCCTATAAGACACTTGGCATAAGATTTCCTTGGCATGGCACAGTGACAAACTTATGAAAATAAAAGAAAATAAAACTGGGTCACAATAATAAACGAAATAAAGGAAGCTGTGACAGTAGAAAAATTACTTTAATAAGCCCTAAGTTAAAAATGAGATACAGGGAAACAAGAGGCAAAGAAAGTATGAAATATCTGCCTGAAGGTTGCTTTTTACCTTTTCTTGGCTGTGAATTCACCACTAATGGATTTACAGTATATACTGAAGAACCGTCTGAACTTGGGAGCCGAAATCTCCTAGAAGAATCCTGAATGAGGTGTTGAGGTAAAATTAGGAAAAACAAGAAGGGAGATTATATTCTGGGTTTATTTATTACATCTATATACTACCCAAATGCCCTCAGGGCAATTTACAAAGATAAAACCTAAGACAAAGATAAAAAGATAAAAGATAAAACCTAAAAGAACAACCTTCTCAGTAAAACAGCTGATTTCAATATTAATTTAGCAAGCTATTTAAAAGGTAGGAACAGAGCTGATAATGAAAAAAACCAACCAAACAAACAACCAAAAAACACCCTAAACATTAAATGCCTACAAAAAGAGGAAGGCCTTAGGCTAATGTCTAAATCATCCATCCACCCACCCATCTATCTATCAGATTTATATACCGCCCATCCAGAATGTGTCTACTCTGGATGGTTGAAATGCAGACCTGGAAGGGACCCTACGGATTATCGAGTCCAGCCCCTGTAAGGGAAGGCATCACTGGGGAATCAAACGCCCAACCTCTGGCTCTGCAGAACTATCCAGCATTCTCGCATATTTATTCCCACATAATGAAGTACGTGAGAATTCCTCTAGGTTCAATAAAGCAGATCTGTTTCGTTGTGGGCTGCACTGAATCTTGGAGCTTCTGAAAATAACTGAGTGATGGTGCCGGCACACCATGCAATGTGCCAAAAATTAACAGATTTTTCAAGTGGATCACTGCTACCACCAAACACAATAAATTCCTAATCTTCAAGATAAATGCACCTCCTTCCTGAACTGAGAGATGAGGATGGACACTGCTCATCGCAGGCAGGGACCTTTTTGATGCCTTTTAATTTTTATTGGTAAACTGTCCCGGAAGGAGAGCATACATCCCCATCCGAGATTTGACCATGACCCATTTCATGGACCAATCTGCCTTGATCATCCTTTTTTCCTCTGTGTTAATCGCAAGTTCCTCTGCTGGCGAGAAGCCTTTCCCCCCCTCCGCCCACCCCAACTTCCTGCCACCTCTACCGTAGTCTCCTGGGACTGCTGCTCTCCATCTTTGTCCCGGTTCTCCTCTTCCTTGCTCCGCTGCTCTGACGCAGTTTTGGAATCCCCGGCCCGGCCCATGGTCTTCTCAGCCTCCTTGAGATCTGTGAGGGTAACACCCTTGAAGCAGAAGGGGGGTGGTGGGAGAGGGTGGGAGGGAGAGGAGGCACATGGAAAATGGGTCAAATGGGGAAGCACAGTGCCACCTAGAGGTTACTGCTCGCATGGCTGCAGCCTAACTTCACGGATGTCATTTCTGAGTCTCCAAATGAGTCCAGAAAGGTGGTGTCGGCATCCCTTTGCACCCCTCTGAGCTTGCTTAGAATTGCCTACAAGCTGAGCTACTAGGCTTCACTCCTATACTGACCCCTCACCTGCGTGGACCTTCTGGACTGTCGCATGAGTCTGGAGCGGGCCTTCCTCTGGGATTCCGACTCTTCGTCTCTCACCGGTGTCTGATACGACCTGGAAGGGGATAAAAAGAGCCGGCTGGATCGCACACAGAGAGTTCCCTTCTCGGCTTCCACAGATTTCTAGGTGAGGGGGTCCCTCTGACTGATTGCCAGCCACCGCAGGCCTTTGTCTGCGATGGCTGGCCTTGGTGATGGGAAGAAACACCTTCCAACTTTTGGGTTTTTTGCAATGGTTAGGGATGGTTCTCCACCTCTTGACACCTTCGCACCACTCTTCCTTACCACCCATGACGTCCTTTCCTTAGCCAGCAAAACAATGAGTCAGGAATGAAGAGACATACTAAGGATAGGTGGGGGAAACCACCTGCCCACAACAGCTTTACTTCTGCCACCACATCCTTCCTCGGATGCCCCCCCTCCCCATATCACTTTGTCGCAGGAAAGACGACAGCCAGGAGGTGAGTATGCAACGTTCTGCAGCAGGCTGAAGACTCTGCACAGAACATCCTTCCTGATTATACCGGAATTGGCTGTCGATTTTTAAAGCAAAAGGGTTTGAGAATGGCTCTTTGAACAAAGGCTTGCCCTCTCCCCAAAAGGCCAAGAGGCAGCTGGCTTTGCAATGAGACTGAGAGTTAACAGAAACAGAAGTTTGCAGAAATGTGAGATGCAACCGCAGAGAACAGGGGTTTGGGGGAGCGGCGGCGGGGGGAGAACTGCCTCCTCAGGCACCCAGAGGGGCCACTGCTTTGACACCTCGAAGGAGCTCTGGTAAATCCTAACTTTCTGCCCTGCCCCAGCTAACCCTCACCTTCGGTGGTCCCGGGGATCCATGCTAGAGCTGATGGCAGTGGAAGAGAGGGGCTGGTGTGGGGCAAGAACTGTATCTATCTTCATCTGAAGACCACCTTCTAAGTTTCTGCGGGGAGGGAGCAAGGAGAGAAAGGAGAAAGAGAGAAAGAGAGAGAGCGCACTCGCAAGAGAGTGTTTAGCGGGAAGCCCTTACAAGGTCTTTCTTCTCTGGAAAACGTTATTCTCCAGCCCCTCCCCCCCCAGCTGATCTGAACTCAGGCTTTTAATCCCACACTTGTACATCAAGCCTCCTCCCCTCTTTTGCTTGCCTGGACTCCATGCATCACTCCCTTCCCGTCCCCTTTTAGCACCATCCACAATGGGATCAAGCCACTCTGTCGACATTTCCTTTAGGCCTTTTCAGTATAATGCTGTCAGTGGGTGATCCCTTTTAAAATTATTTACCGCATGTCTGATGCACAGATGACGTTGCAAAAAAAAAGGGGGTTTGCCCTCCTCAATTATGCAAGGCAAGCCCTTCATTAATCCTGTTTCACGGGTTCAGCAGAGAGGCTGAAGGACACAAAATCATGACTCCTGCATGTTGGCCGGATTGTTGACACTTCCATTCGTAAGAGTTCAATAACGACTTAAGAAGAGCACCCTGTTAGAGCAAATTAAGTGCTCTATAAATCCATTTCAGGCATTTTCTTACAAAGCCTTTCTGTTACCCTCAGATTACAGATGGTGAAAAGGGAACAGAATTACCGACTTGCTTAAGAGCATCAGTAGTGTTCACATCTGTCCTGTAGGTTGAACCAGGGGCACCGGGATATGAACCCATACTGCAAATGTCAGATATGGGCTGAGGAGTTTGCAGGAGGGGCAGGAGGCAGTAGCAATTTCTGGAGGCTTTCCATGCTACTCTCATATGTGCCATGACTCTACAAGTTCCACATTCACGATCCGATGCTTCTGGCCTGGACAATCTCAAACCTTAAGCATAACACAGGACATTCTCGGCTCCCCAACCAAGGAGGCTCCCATATCTTAACCTGGGGTGGGCAGCCTGTGGCTTCCAAAGGTGATCCCAGCCAATATGGCTCACAAACAGAGAGGACAAGAGGTGTAGTCCAACTTTATCTTGAGGGCCACAAAACAGCCACTCCCACTTTCACCCACAAACAAAGAATATCAGAATGTATTCGCCTTCACCTGACAACCTTGAGGTGCTATCAGCAACTCATCAGCTTCAGAATTATCAGCAAGGCTAAATACACTGGTCACAAAGATAACATGGAGGGGAGATCTGCAATCTTGTGTCTGGGGATTCTGCTACACCATGCTGGTGCACCAGCGGCAAATGACTCACGTGCGCCGGGGATCTCGGTGGGGTTCTGTATCTGGGAGGGCAAATATCCGTCGAGTAGGGGTGGGGGTTACCCGAGCCAGGCGTGGTTCTTTGCTCTGTTAAAAGGAAAAGGAGTAGTAGAAAAATCTGCTTGCGATCGATACTGTGACATTGTCAAGACACTGTCTGGCCAGGAGGGGGAGCTGTTCAGAGGCCAGCTGGAGACCTGGGACTTCTCGTTCAGCGCATTGTTGTGGGCAGTATTTAAACGAGGGATGCCTTGAGGTACCTCCCAGTCCATATCAGGAGTACTCCTCTACCCAAGGGGCCTGGTATCTAGCACTTTATCAATGCTCACCTGCATAAAGTACCTATAGCCCATAATCAACAAGGCCAAGGGAGTCTAGAAAAAAGGTACGCCAGGGCAGAGTTAAGGGGAAAACCAAACTAAAGGACTGAACAAAAGGACATTCAAGCACAATGTGTCACGACCATGCACGATACACATGGGTCTTGTCCCACGCAAACCCAACAGCTCTCCAGCTAAGCCCCGCACGCCTCAGCAAACTAGCAACCAAAAAGTGGTAAAAAAAAGTCACAAGCTACCAAGCAAGGGTAATCCAGCCACACCCTCTGATGGGCAGAGGCTCCTACCGGGTCACCAGCTGGCTCAGAAGCTGCACTCCTATTGGCTAACCCTGGGCCAATGGGATTCTTGTTCCACTTCTGTAAGAGCTCCCGGATGTCTTGCTGCAGGTATATATGGACAGTGGCGGGGAAAGGGTGGACAGGGAGGGAGAGAGAGAGAGAAAGAAAAAGACGGCAAAGCAGAGACAAACTTGTGGCAAAACCCAACCTTCAAATCCCATTTTGAGAAGCCACCCTTCTCCCACGGTGTGAGACACCTCCCAACATGGCAGGCTCTGTTCCCAGAAAAATGGACTCCGCAGGTCAAGATGAAACAAAGATTTAAAAAAAAACACCAAGGGGGGGAAAGGATGTAAAACGCTTTTCTTCCTCCAAAATTCTGCAGATCTCCTAAGACCCCACTACCTTTTCTCCTTCCTTTGCTCCTCCAGTAGCATGCCCTGGCCTCCTCCTCTTCCTCCTATTATCATCACAACATGAAACGTGCTAGGACTGACGTCCGCCAGCTCTCCGATTCAAATGTACTGTTCCACCCCCTAACAATCCTCTTAAGTCTCCAGAAGCATCAAGGGTGGCTCCCGGAGAGTCAGTGATAAGGCGGAAAGCATTGGGCAGCTTGCTCAGAGAAACCCTTTGTCTCCTATCACAGCTACCGAGGCTTTACAAAGGAGTCTCTCCAGTCAACACCAGTGTGCCTAAGAGTTTATGCAGCGGCCACTGCCTTAATCACATTCTGCTCTGCCACCTGAGATTAGGGAGCAAAGCTTCCACGGGTCAAAGGCTGCAAGGCCACAGAAGGGTTATCGCATCCCAAAAAGAGATCTAAAATCATTGCCTTAAGGCAGTGAGACAAGCACCCGGGTCCCTTCCTTCATGTGCGACCAGATTCCCATCAGACCCAAGTTGGATGGCCAACAAGCAGGAAAGCTGCAAAATTCCATCCACTTACTGGAACAACACTTGCTCTTGAGCCCTGCACTATTTCAAATGCTGTGCCAAGTTCCACCAATTAAGCAGAAACATTCCACCAACAATGGGGCTTTCAATTAATCAAGCCACTGGTCCATGTGGTTTGCATCATCTCCTTAAACTGCCAGGGACTCACTAGGGCATCAGACAGAGAAGGGCCCATTAACTAGCCCTGCTTCCTAGATCTCTTTTTCCAAGGGGTCACCCCAGGAACTTTCTGCTTCTTATGTCCACCATCTGCTCGCTATCCTCATCTGAATTTATTCTGCCTACTTGGTGGAACGGCAAAATGCTATGCAAAACTACTCTGTCCTCTGAATGCCTCTTCTCCAGTGGATTTCAAGATTTATCCAAGTGTTGGAAAGAAAATCTGTATAGCTCTAAGCGCTGGAAGCCTGCTCCTATAAAGAAAAGGTCTGGTGCTACATCTCCACTTACAAAGTGTGACTGCCAAATGACTGGGCTGCATACCACCCTGGCTGGTCAATAAAGCAATCCAACATAAAGCTTGGCACGGCCTGAGGACATCCACGTCTAATGCCCTGTCCTCAGAAATTAAAAAATGGTCCAGATAATGGAACACTCTACTCACTCTGCTCTTCTCTGCCATTTTTAAAAGGTGTCAGGTTTCTTTTTGCCCTGTTTTCCCCAAGCCATTGATAACAGAATCCGGAATTATCTTTCTTATTTTCAGCTGCTGCCTACAGGACTGATTCGCCCGTTTAGGGGATTTTCCTTTGACCTCACTTGGCTCCATTTCAAATCTGCTTTAAAACTTGTGCCGTTTTAATACTGATGCAGAAACTACCAAGGAGGGAGAACCGCAGTAGAGGCAGAAATCTTAAATGAAACAAAAAGCAGCCTCAAATGTGCACATTGTGGAGGTTCTTCCCCCTCTTCACTCCCAGTGTGATACTCCCAGCTTCTCTGCATCCTCTAAAGAGAAGCTCAACCGCATGTTGCGGTTTCTCTCAACAAAAGCTGCCTCTGCCTTGTGATACTCCCAGCTTCTCTGCATCCTCTCAAGAGAAGCTCAACCCCCAACGAAGTTCTGTCCAAGCATGTTGCAGTTTCTCTCAACAAAAGCTGCCTCTGCCCGAGTTTACCTTTTCCTCTGTATCCAGCCGGGGACTGGATGCAGAACGCTTGATGCCGCCACCCTCCTTGGCTGCTCCATCATCCAACTTGGCATCCTGCAGCACCCCAAAGCTGCTTGTCTTACGGAGGCTCTGTCTCCAGACGGCGGGGGCTGCCACGTCTTCGGGCTCCATGGCACGGCTAGAGCCTCCAGAAAACTATTGGGGTAAGAGTGGAAGGGGATGGGGGGGGGAAGGAAGACACCAAAAAGAAGAAAAGGGGATGGGGAGAGGAAGAGGAAGGAAGCGGGAGTCAGGACAGACGAAGGGAACTTTTAACTCGGAGCAACGGAATTGGAGCAGACAAAGGGATAGCCAGGCTATGAAGGGGAATTCGGGCTGGCACCCAGTAGCTACGATTCCTTGGCCAGAATGCAAGCACAAACTACTAGCACACTCATTCTTTACGAGGAGGGCTAGAATGAGATATACAATTCCTCAGAACAATGTATCTCACTTTGGTAATAGGGAAAGGAGGTGAGACCAGTAGGGACGATAACTGGAAAGCGCTCCGAAACAAGCAAAATCTATGAGCACAACATGGCTGTGGAGAAAGAGAATTAGGCCTCTTCAAGCAGTCTCTTGAGGGAGAAGGGTATCAGATTTAAAAACAAAAAAAGCAGGAGCATTCCAAGTTTTTGCTACCTGGGGCACAGGTTAGCTTTTCGAAACAGGTGCTGTGGAGGAAGTCAAAGCTACCTGTGCGCTGTTGAGCAGGCTGCTTTAGGGCACGGGCCAAAACGCAGCGAGATGCGGCTGCCCCGTGTTCCCCTCCCCTCCCCTCCAGCGTTCTTGCCAACTCCACATTCCAAAGCAGAACAGCCGATGCTCTGACAAGCGGGCAAGTCCAGAGATTGGAACAATGTCAAAGCTGAGGTCATGCCAGGTGAGGAGGCCTGGAGAGCAGCCTCTTCAAAACGACATGCTACTCAGGAAGCTGCAAAGCCTCGAGACATTTGCATCAGCATCCCCTGCTGTGGATTGTCTGGACCGTAGCCTTTTTGACAGCACATTCCCTCTTCCAACATTAAAAAAAATTCCCCCCCTTACTGGCCAGGGTTTCTCCAGTCCACCCAGGCACGTGGATACATGTATGCAGAGTGCCAAGCTTGCAACCCACGGTTCCTGGTAGCACTTCTTCCAATCTGGCAGTCCCATCAGCGAACCAAGGAGCAATGTCCCAGGGGGCCCTTGAAGCAGCATTTAGGCTAAGGGTGGGAAATCTTTGACTTACCAAATATTTGGGATTACACTTCATATGCAGAAAAAAATGACATATTCCCTAGCTCCATTCATGGGTAACTCCATGGCCCCTGTAGGATCACACTGACGGTCTAGCATACTGCCCTGTTTCACCTAGCAGCCAAACAGATACTTTCATAATCCTCCCAGTATAGCAAATAAAATGAGCCCATGGTTACCTCTGAGTGCTTCTCTCTATCTGAATGCTGCTGTTCTAACCATCAAAGCGACAGCCAGAAATAAGGCTGAAGAGGCCTAAGGTCAGGTGACAGCAGCAGCCAAGAGCAGACTAATATTCACCTGATATTTGCATTAAAACAGACTTCCCCAATCTGGTGCCTGCAAACCATATCTTGGACTACAACTCCCACCAGCAATAGACATAATTGCTACTGGTTAGGGGAAAAAGATCAAAGTAACTCTAAACAAAGCCACAGATTCATTCTGTAATAGAATATTCAGACAAGAAGGCATCAAAGCCCTCTATCCCACAACACACCTACGCTGGTGCTGCTGCTGCTGCTGCTGGGGTAAAGAAATGCACATCCATGAAATGTTCTTTTCCCCTCTCCCGTTATCTGCACAGGACACTCACTGTGGCTTTTTGCCCTTTTTGCGGTACCAGAATGATCCCCGTTTTGCGCAAGCTTTGTCTCCACATAGAAGGCCCCACGGGGCTGGGGATGGGCAACACAGGGGTGACAAAGGCAAACTGTGGCTGGAGCAGTTGGGTGAGTGGAAGGAGAAAGCATGGAGGAAGAGGAGGAGGAGGCACAGTCAGCAGCGGATGGAAAGCACGGGTGGATACATGAAAAGAAAGGGGCGAGGCAACAGAAAACAAAACAAAACAAGCCCAAGTATTTCACACAAGGCTGACAAAAATGACATGCAGTGAAAAGGATGATTACTCAGGCATTGGATCAGAGTTAGAGAGAGCATGTGTGGTTGAAGTTCAGCGAGCAGAACCCTCTTAACTGGTTTGAGAAGCCTCTCCACAGTACAGTCTCAAAACTCATTAATGCCAGCATCTCGAAGAGGAGAAAGGTCAACTTGGCCCCACCCCAGGAGAGCCGCAAGCAACAACTGGTTAATCAAGCATGCAAGATGGAAGGTACTGGGCGTGTTAGGAACCGAGAAGTTATAAAGATGAACTCAGCACATGTTTGCATGGCAAAGGAGGGGGTTTGCTTAAGGATCTGTGAAAAGCCCACGACGGAGACAGATAACACCTCTACAGTGAAGACAGTCCTTGAGTGATAACCTCCACCAAATATAGAGACAAGGTTTTGTAGTTTTCTGCTGTTCCTATATTTAAATCTTTCCATAAAATCTAAGAGTTCTGGCTTTCAGGACAAACAGTTGTGCCAACTTTGCATGTAAGTCTTCACTCTTCCACCTCTCAAGTGAACTCTGCTACACAGTTAAGAATTGCAATGAATTAAGACTGATAAAATGGGGCCAAACATTCAGGCTTGGTCTACATATACAACAGAGTAATGTGGGCTAGAATGTTGTGGACCAAGGCTTCAGCTGTGTCTACTTCCTACTATGCTAAATTTCGTACTTGCGGACATTTCCTATAGAAAATTAAGCCTTCTAAAATGGTATGCTTCCTATAGAAAATTAAGCCTTCTAAAATGGCACGCTCTGCTTTGTCATCTAATCGTGCTGTATATGGGTCCAAATCCATACATCAGAGAAAAATCTGGGTATCTGAACCAATGTGTAAGACCTACGCCCTCTAAGTGGAATAATCGGAGAACAAATGAAAACGCATCTCAAATGCTCCCCACAATTAGCTTTCCACCTCTCCTCCCCTCAAGCTCTGACAAAGGCTGGATACAAGGAAGGCACAGTTGTTGCTTGATTTCAATGGGAGGTCAGTAGCTCTACTTGTTACCCCCAGACCTATTCTGTAGCAAGGAACTGGAACGACCGGGATGAGACCAAAGACTAAGACACCACCTGCTTTCCCTTCTCACCTCCTGACAACCAAGAAGTGGTGTTGCAGCAGACAAGACAAGCCTTACCTTCTGCCCTGTGGGAGTAGGGGACAGGGGACTGACCGGGGTCACAGAGATGCCATTCACGGTACTGCTGTCCGTTGGGGGAACAGTCTTCGTCTCTGTAAGGGGTAAAATTATGTTAGCATCCTCTGGGCTGATCTCAACTGGAGACCAAGGAAGACCACTGCCCACCACAATGTAGACCTGCCGCCTACCAGTGGAACTGGGAGTCTCCTCGCCCTCCGAGGCCGAACTCGTCTCCTCCTCGCCAACTGCAATGGTATCCAAGGTCTTGCGTTCCTTTGATTGGTCCTGGACAGAAATCTTCTCCTTGCTGCTCATACGACATACGGAGCTCCTAAGAGGAGCAGAGGAAGACAGAAGAAGCTTAACGGAGAAGATGGATGGAAAAGGGTAGTTTGCACACCCCACACCACCTCGCTGAGACAAAAATCAATGACAGGCAAATCTAAGACAAGCCAGTTCTGGGGGTGGGTCAGTGCAGGGCTAGCAAATTCAGCAATGCTGAAAACCCCATAGTTCCAACTGCCCCCTCATCTCCCTACTTCTCATCAGGATCTGTCCAATATCCCAGTTCTGGGGGTGGGTCAGTGCAGGGCTGGCAAATTCAGCAAGCTGAAAACCCCACAGTTCCAACTGCCCCCCATATCCCTACTTCTCATCAGGTTCTGTCCAATATGTACTGAAACAAGCAGAATGTAAAGATTGCACAAATTCCAGTTGGCATCTTCTGCTAAACCAGTTTGGGCTTACCATGACCACTTGACCATTACCAGGACACATCGTTGTACCAATTCCACCTGCAGTAGTTACGTGCAGATGCTTACTCTGTTTGTAGAACTACTGTGCTCAAGTAATGTTTCCTGCCACACCATGTGAATTCTGCAGTTTTGCTTTCACACCGTTTCAGATGCTGCGAATTAAGTGTCCAATTCTGGGCACAGAGGCTTTCACACCGTTTCAGATGCTGCGAATTAATCAAAGCCTAAGGGCTTGTTCACAGGTGTCCAATTCTGGGCACAGAGGTAACAGAGCGATCATGACAGCATTGCATATATCATTCAGTGTGCAGTATGTATTGGGAAGATATATCTACATACTCTCCACTTTACAGATTTAGAACACAGACATGGCATAGGATGTATGGCTTTGCACTCCATTTGCAGATTTGAGCATGCATGGGATGGCCCACAACTCGCTCAACCCAACTTAAAACCTCAGCCAACTGGATGAGAGGAAATGGAACACAGGATTTCTGATCCTGTGCATGTTTATGAGGCAACAAGACACTAGAAATTTGAACTGATTTGGCATACAACTACAAACAGCTGGGTCGTCCCACCTGACACCTGCAATTTGCAACAGGAAACATTTCTGTAGCAAACTGGCTTGTCAAATTTGCTATGCACCAAATAAACATGTCTCTCCAAACTTGTTTTGCAACTTAACATGAAACACAGACAGGCGCAGAGGGGTAGGGACAGGTTTCCTACCACTGAACCTACACTGCCCATGTTAAGCTGGCCATATAGTTGATTCAAAGCTGGTCCCTCTGGATTCTCCTGGGAAACTGCTCTGCATGGCAAGGACTGTGGCCAGGGGTTTGAGAACATAACTGGTGAGCGAATGGCAGGGAATGTAAGAAATGTACAGTCCCCACTCACCTTCGGTGCTTGGTCGTGCAGGATGGAGGCTGTTCCAAGCTGGTGTCAATCACAGCCTGCCTCAGGTGCGCTTCCTTCTTGCTGCGTAACTAAAGGGTGTCGGAGGGAGAGAAGAAGGGTCAAGCTCTTCCATCAAAGGAATGGCAAGGCAAGGCAAACACCATGCAGAAGAACCGTGCTCTAGAAAAATGCTCTAGAAGCCCTTCTGATGAGATTCCCTGGAGCAGCAGCACTGCACCATGGCTACTGCCTTTTCCATAGAACTCACTACACCGAGATCAGCAGCCGCAGCTGAAATCTGATGGGGCTAGGAGAATAATACTGCACAGCCGCTGAGTTGAACAAGGTTATGAACCATCTGGAAAAAAAAGGCACAGATGCACCCACGGTGGGCATCTTAAAATTGTTTCAGTACAGCCAATAAGCAACAGAATATTCTAGCCTATGTCTTACGGTGGTGACAAGCACAGAGGTCTTCACTTGGAGCATCACAAATGGCCATGTCGGGCTCATCCAGTTCAGCATCCTGTCTCCCACAGTACACAGGTCAGCTGCTTCTTAGACGCCCACAAGCTGGGCCAGAAGGCAACATCATCTTCTCCAAATGCCCAGCCTCGAAGGACAGAAGGAGATTCTGCCTCTGCCGAGTCTGACTCGTAGCCACTAACAGACTTATCCCTCCATTAATTTGTCTAATCCCCTTTCAAAGCCATGCAAAAGCCATTGGCTGTCCCCACATCTTAAGTACTCAGCTCCATAAGCTAATTATGCACTGTGTGAAGTACAGACTTAGTTTTGAACATCTTGCCTCTTACGTTTTATGGTGTGTCCCCAAGCTAGGAAAAACAAGCATCCCTTTCTAGTCTCTGTATACACAACATGTACTATTTTTTATGAATACAATGCATTTCCTTCCAACTCTAAATCATATCAAAAGAGTTAATTTTTCCTCATAGAAAAAGGTGCAGTAATCCCATAGTCATCTCAGTGTCATGGGCATCTTCTGTTAACATCCCTTTTATCCAGAGATGGCCGCTTCTGCCCTCTTTATGAATCACATAGCCTGGTTCTCACAGGAAAACAGCCAGAGTCAAATCATAAAGAAACCAAAACACACACACACATCCCTTTAGGCCTTCAAAAGGACTTTGGGGCTGATCTGCTTTCAGTTCCAGGCTGGAAAGAGCACAGAGCTGGCAGGCTTTCTTTCTTTCCCTGGGAATCAAGGCTCCCTCATCATTTTGCCCAGAGCAAATGAAGGAGGAGGCCCGCGCGGGCTTTCCCCTTCAACAGGCGCCTCGGGGGCAGCCCACCCCTGTGCCTTCAGGACTGGCAAAACTCAAATCAAGTTGACAGGCAAGCTGGCCTCACACTCTGCCCTCACGCCCTGAGGGGCACCATCATTTCTCTCTCCTTGCTGCGTTTCTGGCTGCTGGAACACAACATCAGGGGAATGTGAAAAAGTCAGCCGGCTTAAGCACCCCCCCCCAGTGTTTTGTGTCCAAACAAAAAAAAAAAGGCAGTGAAAAATGATCTGCATTGGGGGGGTGGACACCAGCATTTCACTCATGCCTCCTGATTAGCAGACACAATTGCATCCTGCAAACAGAGGCGGCTGCTTGCTTTATGTGCCAGGTACAGACTCCACAAAGTTGGCTCCCCGGTAGCCCTGAATGATGGGAGCTTTAGTGCAAAGTACACACAGACCTGGAGGAGCCCAGACAATTAAAGACGTTTAGGCCCCTCCTAATTAATTAAAAATCCGTGAAGTAGCTTAGGATGATTGTTTTAAAAGAAAACAAAAACAGGCCCCTCAAATTTAGCAAACGTAAACATAACCTCTTTAAAAGTAGGAAATAATGTCAAACAGAGGCTAAGTCAGTAATGGAAAATAAAGACCCAGAGAGCAGTAAATGGGAAGTAATTATTAGATGCCTGGATGTGTAACAAATTTTGAGCTGGCGCCCCAAGTGCATCAGAGGAGGCGCCAGGGCAGAAACCCCAGGGTTATATTTCAAAAGTGGAGTTTCTGCCCTCCCTCAACACACACTTTTGTTGTTGTTTAGTCGTTAATACTTTCCCCTATAACCACTGACTGAGTTTCTACTGATGAGAACCTCCTGAACTATCATCCCATAGCAAATCCCCCAGTAAAATGACATCCAATAGAGTGATACCATTCATAACGTAACTTTCTATGTAAATATAATTTAACATATAGTAGTAATGCCATGCTTAACACTTCACACCTATTTGGTATTACAAAACCCACAGATTAGTCTATTTACTGTTAACATGTTTATTATCTATGGTACATGCAGTAGTAAATGGCATGTCATATTTGCAGGAGGACATGGGGATTCAGAGAAGGATAGTTCTTCATAGTTGCAATGAAAACCCTGCACCTACCTATATTATTTCTCCATTCCACTGGTGTTAATAATTCAGAATATCAGGCAAAATCCAAAAAAACAAAACAAAGCAAAACAAAACAAAAATAGGTGGCACCTCAAAGACTATTATATTTAATTTGAGCTTTCGTGAACAAGTCCACTTTATCAGACATATGAAAAAAGGAAAAGAAATGAAACAATATATTCGCGAAGGCTTGAAACAAAACTTTAAAAAAACAATACTTTTTAAAAAATGAAACAATACTTTAAAAAAAAATCAGAAAGACCAAGCTAAGCAATCCCTAAAGGAAACCATACAGAACACAATCTAAAAACAATAAAAGGAAATAAAAATCTATAATAATGCAAGATCAGCCTGTGGCTGAAAGCAATTTCAATCAGATGAGTCTTTCAAAATTGTGACTGTTAGGTCAGAGGGTCTGATGCCTGAACATCTCCTTAAGAGCCTTACAGAACTTTATAGACCTTAAGGGGAAAAAATCATAAGCCTGTGTTCAGGACAGCTGGCATTTATCCCAGAAAAAAAGGTTAATAAGAGCCCTACAGAACTTTATAGACCTTAAGGGAAAAAATCATAAGCCTGTGTTCGGGACAGCTGGCATTTATCCCAGAAAAAAGGTTAGTTCCAGAATGAAACCAGAGAGCCATTTCCAATCATGTCAACAGTCATCCGACTTTCCACACACATAAAAAAGTGCCACCCCAGAAAAGCCCCTGTCTCTTAGTTTACTCCAAAGGAGATTCTCACCACCCCAACACTTCAAACAACACGGTGAAGCATTCCTGCAGGACAACCTCTGTCCTAATAAAGCCTCCAAGATCTGAAGGATCTCAGGTGCCAGGGTCCTGTAATGCAGCTGGGGGGAAAGACAAGACCAAAAAAAAAACGAGAGAGAGAGAGGGGGGGGGGGAAGGGAGGGAGAGAGAGGAATGACTCACATCATTTTGCTTCCGCTGCAGTTCTTCAAGTAGAGCCAAAGTGTCCTCATCTGCAAGGTCACAGGGACGCTGGCCCTGGGATAGAGTGGGGGAAAGGACAAGGGTTAAGAGGGGCTCCACCAGAATTGCCTCAAAGCTTCACTATAGAGGGCCGTGGTCCCCAACCTTTTCTGAGTCGCAGATCGGTTGTCACAAGGAGTGGGGCGCACTCGCGCACATGCATGAACGAGTGGAGCACTCGTGCGTGCAGGTGGTGGGTGGGTGGGAGTGCATGAGAGAGATATGTCTCCATGGCCCTGTCCTAGGTGGTGGGTGGGTGGGAGTGCATGAGAGGGGGGGAGATATGTCTCCATGGCCCGGTCCTGCAATCGACCGGCACTGGGCTGTGGACCAGCGGTTGGGGACCCCTGATTTAGGAGAAGAAAAGGGGGAAATACAATGGGTACAGGAGCTTCTTCCTAATACCATTACAATGTATTTTGAGTCATCAACTGTCCCTGCTCCAAATTCATTGAACCACTGAAGAAATGGACACCAAAGGCTTTCTAGGCACATGCACCTCTGCCTTGCACTAGGTTGCAACCTCTCAGAATCTAATAACTGCTATTTTGAATGAAAAAGCAATAAACTAAGTATAAATGGGAGGCTGTTTATATTCTGAGAAAAGTGCTGGCTATTGCTCATGGTATAGCCCCTCCACACGATAAACTAAGTATAAATGGGAGGCTGTTTATATTCTGAGAAAAGTGTTGGCTATTGCTCACGGTTATTCAGAGTGGAGGGAAGTAAGAAAGGGGATAGCCCCTCCTCACAAAGATAGGGGATAAGCCTACGGCCATTTCAGAACACTTTCCTTCACCATATCTTAAACTCTTCAAGCTCACTTTGGGGGGGGGGGCTGTATGTGCTCTACAATCTTTTCCACGTTTTCATCTTCCCTGTTTCTTTGACCCTTCAGGTTTTGCAGCCTTTAATAAATTAAGTACGTAGAATGATCTAAAGCAGTGGTTCCCAACCTTGGGTCCCCAGATGTTATTGGACTATTAAGTCCCAGAAATCCTGGCTACCACAGCTAGTGGCAAAGACTTCTGGGAGTTTTTAGTCCAAAAAATATCTGAGGATCCAAGGTTGGGAACCACTGCTTTAGAGGCATGTGCACAAGGAACAAAAAAAATGAGTGTGGATGTAAGAAAAATGGAGGGGCTTAAGAACTTTTTACAGTATGGGAAGAAAATTAAGTAACTTAAGTAGGTAGAATGAACTAGAGCAGTGGTCCCCAACTTTGGATACCCAGATGATTTTGGACTAAAACTCCCAGAAGCCTTCACCATTAGCTGTGCTGCCGGGATTTCTGGGATTTGTAGTCTAAGAACATCTGGGGACCCAAGGTTGGGAAGCATTGATCTAGAGCAAGTGGAATAGGCTCACCCGATCAACAGAACTTACAGAGAAGTTCACGCACCAAACCCCCACTAATTCAATGAGCCAACTCTAGTTGCGACTCACCACAAGCAACAGGATTTCAGCCCCCAGTTAACACTTTTAAAAAAACAAAAGATGGTAAGCAGAATTTTAAAAGCAGTGGGAATGCCATTTATGTACCATTCATCTGACTTCCTCCATTTCTGCAGCAGTACCCGTCATATACATTTGTCAGATTTAACCTACTGCCTGAATTGAGCCATTAACATTTCTTTAATTAGGCAACGGGCCTAGTCCCCCACTCTTTCCCTACAAAACACAAAGGTTTGTGAACATCCTAAGCTGCCTTAGAAAGAACTGACTGGCCGGGCACTCTCTGCTGCCTCTGGTAGAGAAGAGTCCTCCCCTGCTAGATGGGACCCTTCCCTCACTGGCCATCCCACAGGCCCGGCCTTTGTGCTCACCACATTGTTGAGTGCCTCCATATCACAGAAGTGCTCAGCCAGAAGGCGGCAGGCCTCCTCCACTCCCCAGTGAGCTGCTGCATGGAGGGGAGCCCAGCCATCTTTATCCCGAACATTGGGGTCATAGCCAGCTTGCAAGAGCAGCCTATATTGGGAAAAGAGGAGGCAATGTTAGGGCTTCTGGGAACCCACCCTGCCTCTAAGATAAAGGTACTGGGTTGCAACAGATGCACTGGTGGACCAGAGTAAGAAAGAGCAAAAAGTCAGAGCTCCAGGATCTTGCAAAGGGAAGAGAAGTTCAGTGACCCTAATGGGACACAGAACACCCCAGTTATGGAAGAGTTAGGTTTTGATGCAGGTCTTCGCTGAACTTTTTTTTTTGGGGGGGGGGGAGTTCATACCTTGAATGATGTGTTAAAGATTTCTCAGGACAGGAAACAAAGCCGGTTAGGGGAAAACAAGGAAGAATGGGAATAAAAAAACAATTTCTTTCAGAGGCAAAGCGAGCAGCGTGGGTTTGAGAAATGCTGGGCATGCTGGAACTCAACCCACCCCCGTTTTATCTTCCCCATTTTTTGTTTGGAGGACAGGGGGGTACAGGTGGTGAGAGCTGTAGAGAAGATGTGCACTTCGTATTCCTATCCAGGGAACATCATCAACATCAGAATACAAACACTGCAGAAGTTGTCCCGCTGGCCCTTCCCCACCTCCTCCTGCAGCCGACCTGCACGGGGTCCAGTAAGTGGACCGGACTAGTTCCAGGGGGCGGGGGGGGATGGACCATGGTGGCTGCTGTGCCACTGCGCTTCCCATTTGTATCCCCTTCATATGAATATGAAGCACACATCTCTAGTTAGGAGCCTGGAGTTTGAATTCTCATTGTTTGGTCAAAAGTATTAAGAGCGGGGCAGGACAGGGACTGAACAGACCTTAGCCTGCACCTTCTCTAAGGGTTTGTCTGTGCTTGTGCAGTGATTGGCAAGATGGGGCGGAGTCTGGAAACCAACCCCCATATGCACTTAAGCATCCAAAGGGGGACTTTTACAGGGAGTGATGCAATTACTCTGGGCTGGGAGGTGAATAAGGCAAGTGCCTAAACCTGTTGAGGAAGATAAAAATCTAGCATCTGTTCCATGGTCCTAGCTGCTTTAGTGACCTTGGACTGAATTAGACAAAAGAAACGAAACTAGAATCCTGCTCTACAGTGAGGTTTCTCAAAGTATGGGTTGCAGGTTTCTTATCCTGTCTTCTAAAGCATGATTTCCTAATGAATGACAAAAGAAACGAAACTAGAATCCTGCTCCACAGTGGGGTTTCTCAAAGTATGGGTTGTAAGTTTCTTATCCTGTCTTCCATTCTAAAGCATGATTTCCTAATGAACGGGGTATAAAGTATTTTTAACCCTCAGAATGGTTGTATTAGGGGGACTCAGACAACAGGATACAATCCCAGCCTCTCACCTCATAACTTCTATGTAGCCTTTGGCAGCTGCCACATGGAGGGCGGTGGCCCCTGTTTTGGGGTGTGACTCATCAGATATTTTGCCAGCATTCAGCCATTGTCGAGCATCACGAAGCATTACTTCCTCCTCCTCTCGCTTGGCTACTTCCACATCTACCCCTGAAAGTAGAGGAAAGTGTCCTGTGAAATATAAAATCTGAATGGCTATGGTAGTTACACAGTAGAACAGACGCTGAATCCACCTTCTCCCATGCAGCTGTAATAGCCTCAAAGGAGGACATTCCCCCCCCCCTCTTTTACCCCTGACTCTCAGAGTCAGTTTATGGTCATAATCAGTTTAAGGAAAAATTGTGAAATTGTGTAAAATGAGTTATCTACTAAGGAAGAGATTGATGTACAGTAATTCCATTGTTCCTCCATGCAAGTGCTCTGGTTCCTTTACCTCCAATGGGTTTAAAGACAAAATTAATTATGCACATTAAACAAATGGATGTCCTTTTCCCAGAATTCATCAAATTACTTTGGTAAAGGATTTTTATCATCCTATCATTCTCTTAACACAGTTTTGGTGACTCTGGGAGGCTGCTCGATACTTTCACCTGTAGAATCATCTGAACACAAGAGAATCACATGGACCGTCATCACAATCCTGAGGTCTATACCTTAATAGATTAATACAATTTTAAAAATGAAAACTTCTGAAGATAAACCCATCATGTAGCACCAGCGCCAAGGGCTATGATTGGGAACAGGGTGGACCTGATTTAAATCAAACTGATTTATTAAAATTAAAAAAAATAGAATCTGATTTTTGATTATTCAAATTTCAAAAATTGGATTTTTTTAATGATTTGAATTAAAAAAAACATTGATTTCCCCCCTCCCACCCTGGTTGGGAATACAGTACTGGGCAAACCTTGAATGGCTTCAGTGTTACAAAAGAATAGCATCTTAAGGAGGAGACGTGGAAATGCATTTCTTCAAACTCATGGCTGCCAGTTCTCTCCTTACCTCTCTTTGCAATCTCCGACCGCAGTAAGGTCTCCATATTGTCAGCTTCGGCAATGTCCAATGGCACATCTCCGTCGCTGTTCACCGCAGCAATGTTGGCACCGTGATCCAAGAGGTATCTGGGCCAGACAGTGAAGCCCAGGGTTAGACCCTTGGGCCCAATTAGCCCTACATCAGGCCTCCCACCTCTGCAATCCTGGATTATACCAAATGCATCCATCTAACAGGGTCATCAGACCTCCATTTCTGTCAGGCTCCACCTGGCGGACCTATATTCTTGGGGGGAACCTAGCAGGACCACTGAGGGCTGAGAGCTTTAGAGCTAACATACTACCTCACATTCCCAGACAATAAGCTTCTCTTGCTAAAAGACTGCAAGAAAGGATGGCCACATTTTTAAAGATATAAACTGCTACAGTGGTGCCTCGCTTAACGAGCGCCTCGTATAGCGACGAATCCGCATAGCGATCCCTTTTCTGGGATCGCTAATGCGGAGGCATCGTGTCAGCCTCTATGGCCGAAACTCGCATAGCGAAGATCGGTAAGCGTTTCGCTTACCGACCTTCGCTTTGCGACCCGCGGATCAGCTGTTCGGTGGGTCCAAAATGGCCGCCGGAACAGCTGAAATGGCCACGCGAAAATGGCTGCCGGCTATGTTTGCTAAAAGACTGCAAGAAAGGATGGCCAAATTTTTAAAGATACAAACTGCTACTTATTTTCTTGACCTCCAAGACACCCTCTGCCCCCAGCCAGGAACTTCCTCCTCAAAACAGCCGTGAGCAAAAGAAAAAGAAGAAAAAGAAAAAATTACTTATTTTCTTGACCTCCAAGACACCCTCTGCCCCCAGCCAGGAACTTCCTCCTCAAAACAGCCGTGAGCAAAAGAAAAAGAAGAAAAAGAAAAAATAGAGGAACAGTTTTAGCGTTAGTGGCAGGACTGTTGCACAACCAGAAATAAAAGAAGTCCTGATGGAAATAACAGAATCATGAGATCTGGAAATCAGTCTTCTAGTAGCTTCTGCCCGCTTGGTGCTATTTTCACTTCCATTTGCAGAAAGGGTAAGTAATGCAGCCACTGTGACCTCCACCCTTTAAGCCTGAGGCATCTGCTTTCCTGCTCCCATGGCACTCCCATGTTGCAAAGAAGAACAATCGCATAGGACTGGACCAACACTATCCAAGCTGCATTGCCGCATAGAGAGCTAAGCTCCAGCCTGAACCTGGCTACCTTTGAGCAGCCTGTGCTGATATCCTGAAGCTTCATTTGAGATGGGAAAGTGGCCACCAGTGAGGTCCTGTTGGCTAGTGAGACAAAATAGGGAGCTCTGGTTACAAACTCCATTGGTCTCTTTCCCCGTAACTAGAAAGCAAAATAATCTGCAGCCAAAGCCACTAACACCCAGTAACTTCTTGCTGGGCAGAGCATAGAGGGGCATGAGTGGCAACCAGGATCCTTTATACCTGGGAAAACCAGGGTGGCACTCAATCAGCAACTACAGCACAGATTATGAAATTGTGGTCCTCCAGGGGTCGAGGAAGTACCACTTCTATCACCACTGGCTGGGCTAGCAGGGGTTGATGTTTATTAAAAGCACCTGCAGCATCCCATTCCTGAACTAGGATACTGCAGCAGGCATAGGCTATGTCACGGCCACTCATTCGCAGGTGAAAACTGGCAGCGGCCCTCTAGGAGTTTCAAGGTTTGCTTATATTCCAGCTGGAATGTCCAAGGTAAAGAACTCTGGGAACTGAAGTCCCAAATACCTGCAGATCCAAAGTTAAGAGCTACTGGCTGAGAATGGGCCTGTGGCTCTAACAGTGCTAGGCCAAAGGCGCGACAGTCACAATGGCAGTACATCTTCCTGGGGAGCCAATACCCACCACCTCCCCACACTCACTGTGCAATCTCGATATAGCCACAGGAAGCAGCCACATGAAGCGGAGTCCATCCTTCATTGTCGGCTTGGTTCACATCAGCTCCACTGGCCACCAGAAATTCAACCACTTCCATGTTCTCATCAATGCAGGCCTGGAAGAGGCAGAACAGCTCCGATTAAAGAGAATCGTACAGTTGGAATGAGTTTGAAAGATAATTTTAACTCCAACCCCATGATAATGCAGAAACTCACATCTAAATTGCCCCTCATGGGTGGTCCCTAACCACTATGAGCCTTGTGGCACATTGGTTAAACTGCAGTACTCTAGTCAAAACCAGGGTTTAATTCCAGGTAGCTGGCTTTAGGTCTACTCAGCCTTCTATCCATCCAAGTAGGTAAACTGAGTACCCAGCTTGCCTGAGGGGGGAGGGGATGTGTAGCTAACCTAATTAAAATTTGCAAACTGCCTAGAGAATGCTTTAAGATCAATCAATCAATCAATCAATACTCTAGTCAAAACTCTGTTCACAACCAGGGTTTAAGTCCAGGTAGCTGGCTTTAGGTCCACTCAGCTTTCTATCCATCTAAGTAGGTAAACTGAGTACCCAGCTTGCTTGAGGGGGGAGGGGATGTGTAGCTAATCTAATTACAATTTGCAAACTGCCTAGAGAATGCTATAGGGTGCTATATAAGCACCATGATTCGCTCTTTTTATGTGTGCGTGTTTTTACTCTGTTTAAAAACACTTTGAAGGAAAGATCCCACTACTTTCTAAAGTAATTTATAAATAATGTATTCCACTACTGAAAAGATTTTACCATCAGGAACTTTCTCCTAACATCTAGCCCATGTCTCCTGCAAGGCTCACATCCCTAATTTTCTCTCCTTCGTTTATTTATTTAAAACATTTCTACTCCACTTTTCCCTTAAAGAGTGATGTAAGGGGGCTTACATCATTGAAAGATAACAATTAAAATAAACAAAACAAAAGAGTATACAAAGGCATTAAACATTTAAACCTAAGGCTAAAAACAAAAGCCTTAGGGTTAAATCTTTAAGGACTCGTTGGCACTGCGGGATAAACCACAGAAGCCTCTGTGCTGCAAGGTCAGAAGAGCTGCAGTCGTAAGATCAAATCCAAGCTATGGAGCGAGCCCACGTCGGTTGTCCCAGCTCCGCCAACCTAGCGGTTCAAAAGCATGTAAAATGTGAGTAGATAAATAGGTACCGCCTCGGTGAGAAGTTAACAGCGTTCCGTGTCTAGTCATGCTGGCCTCGTGACCACAGAAACTGTCTCTGGACAAATGCTGGCTCTACGGCTTGGAAACGGGGATGAGCACCGCCCCCTAGAGGCAGACACGACTGGACTAAATGTCAAGGGGAACCTTTACCTTTTACAAATATTTAAAGGAATAAACAGATACCACTCTGACAAATGGTAAACAAAAGGAATACTAAACACACTTTCAAAGCACAACAATCCATTTGAAACCCCTACTCAGGCAGCCACTGAGTGAGGGAAAGCCTGCCTGAAGAGAAAGGTCTTCGTTTGCTTGCAGAAGGACTGCTAAGATGGGGCCAGCCTGGCCTCCTGTGGGTGGGAATTTGGAAGTCTGGGAGTGGTGACAGAGAAAGCCTTCTCCCGTATCCCCACCAAACAGATCTGTGAAAGTGGTGGGACTGAGTGAAAGGCCTCTCCTGATGATCAATGACACATGGACTCACCCCCAACCTCTGGGAAAGGTAAGCACCTCCAAATCTCTCACCCAATACCAACACCCTCCACTCTTTTTTCAGTGGCACAAAGCAGTGCCCCATCAACCTGTGTCATGCAAGACTGACAACAGCACAAGCTACTTAAATCCTCTGTTAAAAAACAAAGAAATGCCACAATCTCCAAAGAACTGTGGAATGAATTCAGTGCATGTAGACATCGGAGGTAGGTAGGTATACTTTATTATGGTCAAAGACCAGTAAAGACATCGGAGGTCCTGAAAATAAGATTCCAAGTGAAAAAGAAAGAAAGGAAAACTGAGAAGGAAGCAGATTTAAGGTAACATCAAGAAAAGCTTCCTAAAGATAAGAGGATTGCCACTTAGGAACATACTGCTCCAGGAAGTCACAGAACAAATTCCTAGAGGTTTTCAAAAGCAAATGCTGAATAACAGAGATAGAAACTCATGTTTAATGGGGCTCCTCCTGACCGTCTAATCATTATCATTATGACTGAATTTCTGTATGCTTCAGGACCAGGTGTAATTCTTACAAAGGCTGACATTTGTCACCAAGAATAGAAAGCCCAGTGTAGTTCTACATTCGTCTAGCTACTCAGGAGAAAATCCTACTGCAATGTTTTTTGGGGCTGAAAAGCTTAGATCAGGTCCACGTAACAGATTCCAAGCTTCATATAATCTCTTTATATCTTAACACTGATCTGAGATGATAGAAAAAGCCAAAAGTGAATGGAGAATCCCCATGAGCTGCATCTGTCCTAGAGGCTGGAGATACTCTATCCTTGAAGTAAAGACAAGATCTGAACTAGGGACTAGCTTTAAGCAGTCTCTCACCTGCTACACCTGCTTTGCTAGATAGACTTTGCTTCAGCTGCAGGGCTGTATGGTTGGTTTTTCAGTGGACACAAGCCAAGACTTGAACTTTTTTGTCTCTGCTCTATTTAGGGGGTGGTGCAAGTCATCACAGGGTGAGGCAAGGAAAAGCAAGATGTCACAAAGTGACAGACAATGGCTGAAGCTGAAGAGGGACGACAACCACTTAACTTGTTGGACAACCCTAAGTGGCACTGCTACACCACACCCAAAAGTCAAACCCTTGCTTGTTGCTACCTCCAAACTAGCGAACAGCAGTCTGAACTTGATCTCCAGTCCAGGAGCGCAAGCCACAATTTTGAGAACAAGCATTCCTCACAGGTTCGTGCTTTGGATGCAACAAACAGCACATGATGGTTTTTAATTTGGATCAGAAAGAAATCTAGGTGGGTTGTGATCCCTCTCAAGAGAAAATAGTTGAAAAGTATAGGCAGACTATAGTTAGAAGTACTTAACCTGGGCCATGTTAGGGGAGGATCGAAAGAAATCTAGGTGGGTTGTGATCCCTCTGAAGAGAAAATAGTTCAAATGTACAGGCAGACTACAGTTAGAAGTACATGTCAGGGGAGGATCACACAGATGCAAAACTCTGTATAAACAGAGTAAGCATTATATAAATACCAACAACCAGTTAAGTGACAAAGATTCAGTGTGAACAATTTATTTATTTATTACCCCATTATTGCACAGCACTATTCTGGATGCTTAGCAATATAAAATCCAACAGGATGAAACAAAATAAAATAATAAAATCATAAACATAGAATAGAAGGCAGCATTAAGCGACAATGGCACAGTGTATCCAAATCAGGGAGAAGGACATGAGGCCAAAATTTCAGGTGATGGGGAGGGAGGGGTCCAGACACTGATCAACCAAGACATTGGCCCTACTGCATTGAAAGCTGGTACCACTGCAGAGAAGGCCATATTTTGCATCAATGATTTTTCTGACCTCCTTTGGTAGTGGATATCCAAGGAGCAGAGCCTGGAAGGGACCTGGTAGTGCAGGAGGGTGATATTGGGAAAAGACGCTCCAACAAGTAAAAGGTCCCAAACCATGGAAGGATTTACAGGTGAGCATCCAAACTGTGACCTTGATCCAGGATGTTACAGATAACCAGTGCAGGCGAGCCGGGAAAAGGGAGATGTGATCAAACTACAAAGAATGCAAAGAAATGCCCTGATTTTAAAAAATATATATACACCAGATTCGCAGAGATCTTCCATTCCATTATGCACACCAGATGAGCTGCGAGATACCAGATGTGCCAAGAACTTGAGAGTCGCAGGAGACCTGCAGTCTCTATGAAGTCTTCGTTGCAAGGGATGGGGTGGGGGCAGGAAGGGAGAAGATCTGGGCCAGAAAAGCTTTGATGTCTCTTCCCTTGCCAAGAATATGCAGCTGTGCTACTTTTCGGCTTCCAGAAAGAAAGAAAAAAGACGTCAGAACTCAAGACAGCAGTTTCTGCTAGATTTCATCTGCCTTTAATAACAGGCTTCAGATTTGTAGTCAAGAGACCACAGAGAATAAAACTGGTTCAGGCGACAGGCGACAGCAATGTGGGTGTATCGTACTGAGTGCACTTGGAATAAAAATTTGGGACATCTTTAGTTCTCTTCAATGGAGATTCACTTTTTTGGGAGGGCAGGAAGAGTCACTGAGTCATATGGAGCTGCCTTATACATTGTCAGAAGCTCACTCACCCAGTATGGTTCGTTTATTGCAACATTTATATCCACCTTTTTCCAAAGAAGCTCACAAGGCGGTGTACCTGCCTGCCTTCTACCCCTTCATCTCTTTACAACAGCCTGTAAGTCTGGTTGGCTGAGAGAGAGAGAGAGAGAGGCATTCGGCTAAGGTCATCCAGTGAATTTCAGTGACTCAGTGGAGACCAGAAACTCTGAAATCCTGCCCAGTGCTCTAACCACTAAACTATAGTACCTACAGTTTTCTGGGATCCCAGGCAGAGATCTCCACTACACTCTGCAACTGAAACCTTACTTGTAAAATAGATATCTGTGGTAGCCTGTGAGCTACCTCTGACCTTTCTCCTTACCTCCTTACGTGGGGCTACTTTTGAGGCTGCTGCGGAAACTACAGATGGTGCAGAATGCGGCGGCCAAATTACTTAGTGAAGTGAAAAAATACCAACATATCTCGCCCACTCTGGCCGCATTGCATTGGCTGCCCATCCGATTCCGCATCGACTTCAAAGTGCTGATGCTTACGTATAAAGGCCTAAACGGTTTAGGGCCTCGATACTTGGCGGAACGCCTAGTCCCACCAAGATCTACCCGTGTCCCCCGCGCGAGCCAGGAGGTGAGGCTGAGGAGCCTAACACCGAGGGAGGCCTGGAAGGAAAAGACAAGAAATCGGGCCTTCTCGGCAGTGGCTCCTAGACTCTGGAACAATCTACCTCCTGAGATTCGCGGGGCTCCCTCGCTGGGTATCTTTAAGAATCAATTAAAGACATGGACGTTTCGTCAGGCCTTCCCATCAGATAATTCCTGACGCCCTTTTTTCCTCTTTTATTGTTTTTTTCTGC